CCCCTCTGACAGCCAAGGAGTGAGGAGCTCAGCCAGTACAGAGAGAAGGCCAAGGTTTGGCTGCCCAAGTGTCCGCAGGTTGCTGCTGGAGTAGTTTTGCCTGGTAGGGATTAACTGTTGTACCGGATGGTTTAGTTTTATGTTATAGCCTGGGGGCTTTGTGTTTTGTGTTCAGTGTTTAACCGGAGGACTGGGTGAGGTTATAAGGGGTGGGGGAGGCCTCATAGGGACTCCCCAGTAGCGTGGGGGTTCCTGGCGCTGAAGAAGGCACAGTATGTTGTGGGGTGCATTGGCCTAGCCCCGAGAGTGGCGAGGAGCCCCAAGAGTGGCCGAAGGACCCCGAGAGGGCAGAGGGGCAGCAAGGAGTGGCAGGGAGGGCAGAGGGGCGGCGAGGAGTCCCGGGAGTGGTAGAGGAGCCCCGAGAGTGACAGAGGGGCGGCGAGGAGCCCCGAGAGTGACAAAGGGGCCCCAAGAGTGCAGAGGGGCGGCGAGGAGCCCCGAGGGCAAAAAGAGGGCTGAGACATAACAGGGCCAGTCAGATCACACCAGCACCATCTGTGAGGCTTGGGCTGCGGTGTAGGGGAGGAAAAGGAGCCGCAGATAGCGCCCCCTGTCATCGGGGCGCGTAGAAATGGGTAGCCTCCCGTTAATTACAACAATCTATTAATTAAATAAGATCAAGGCATGGCAGGCGAGTAAGCAGGCGGTTAGCCCATTAGAGGAAGGTGGAGCCGTACTCGGAGAGGCTCCAACAGTGGCACCCCTGTCACAATGGTGCATTGGCCGGGAAAGGTTTACATGGCAGTAGGCTTTATAAGACGCTGGTTTGCCGGCTTGAAAAAGAGAACCCTTGGGCCCGCGTGGTGAGGGAAAAGAGGACAAACGCTAACCCCTGGGCTAGAGTCGGGGCAACAAGATTTGGATCGGCCACACCAAGCAGTACAAGGCCCGCAGGATCAAGCAGCGGGACAACCGACCCTGCAAGCCAGTATGATGGGAAACACTTGACCCGGCCCACCAGAGCAGGTAGGAATGTGCGGCTACACAGACCGAGTTGACCGCGAGGTGGCAGATGAGCTGCCTGCACCGGTGGTAGAAGTAACCATAGAGGGGAAAAGAGTAGTGGTTATGCTAGACTCAGGCTCAACACAGACTGTGGTATGGAGCGACGTGTTACCGGCAAGGGAGATGGGAAGAGTGGATCAGGCGAAGATGCAGTGCTGGTGTGGGGACCACCTTGATTTTGACAGGGTGAGGGTCACCCTGCGAGTGGGCAAGAGGACCTGACAGATGCTAGTGCGGGTCGCAGACCATTTACCCTACCCTGTGGTACTGGGCTGTGACTGGCCCGAGTTGTTAGAAGAGATGGTTGGCGTGAGGTATAAAGCGACCGCAGAGGGGTTCATGGGCGAAACGGAGCAACCCTTCCCCGGAGAGGAAGCGGGACAGAGGGTGGATAGTACCCAGCTGGGGGAAGATGAACATTTTCAACGGGAACAGAGCCGAGAGGCAGATTTTAGATGGGCGCTACAGGAACACCTCGCTTGGAGAAACAATGAGGTATTGAGGCCGGAGCTGATGAGAACAACCCCGAGGTTCGAGGTGCGGAATGGCCTCCTATACCGGATTGAGCAAGGGAAGCCAGAAGGAGAGGAGGTTGCCCAGTTGTTGATCCCGCAACGGTATCGACGGCCGTTGTTGAAGGTGGCCCATGAGCTTCCCATGGGCGGGCGTCTAGGCCAGGACAAGACACAAGCATGCATTCGAGCAAGGTTTTATTGGCCAGGTATGATGGGAGAAGTGGCGAGATACTGCACTTCGTGTCCTGTCTGCCAAAAAACAAACCCAAGGCAGCCCGCAAGAGCCCCTTTAGTCCCGATGCCTCTGGTAGAGGTTTGCTTTGAGAGGGTGGCAGTGGACATTGTCGGGCAACTCCCTCGAAGTAGCACAGGAAACCAGTACATATTGGTCTTCCTGGATTATGTGACGCGGTACCTGGAAGCTGTGCCAATGTGGACAGTGTCCGCGCCAAAGGTGGCCAATGAACTCTTGAAAATATTCTCCCAGGTAGGACTCCCTAGGGAACGTCTAACTGATCAAGGAATGAATTTTACGTCACGTGTGTTTGAGGCCGTGAGTAAAGCCTTGGGGATTAAGCATCTGAAGACAGCCGTCTATCATCCCCAAACAGACGGGCTGGTGGAACGATTTAATCAGATGCTGAAACAGATGCTGAAAAAGTTCGTGGTAGGGAGCCCTCAAAATTGGGACAGAATGATACCTCCTCTTCTGTTTGCAGTATGAGAGGCATCCCAGGCTTCCACTGGATTTTCACCTTTTGAATTATTGTACGGTTGGCAACCGAGGGGAATCCTGGATCTAATTAAAGAGAGGTGGGAAGAACAACAGAGTAACGACCAGAACATCATACAATATGTGATCCAACTGTGGGAACGCCTTGAAGCGGCTCGAACCCTGGTTTTAGGAAACCTCAGGGAAGCCCAGCAATGGCAAGTAAGGCATTACAACCGAGGCGCCCGGGAAAGGGAGTTTGATGTGGGGGACCGCGTGTTGGTCCTATTGCCGGACAGCGAAAGTAAGTTGCTTGCCCAGTGGCAGGGACACTATGAAATCATATGCCGAGTGGGACCCGTAGACTATGAGGTACACCAGATAGATAAGAAAAAAAAAGAAGCAGGTGTACCACATCAACATGTTAAAGTAGTGGGAGACCCGGGAGTGTATGTACCTAGCCCCTCATCCCGAGGAATTAGAGCTGGGACCCACGTTAACAAAGGAAAATGGATCAGACAACGTAGAGCTGGCCCCACGCTTGTCAAAAGAACAGAGGAGACAGGCTGCTGAGCTAGTCAAAGAATTCGAAGATGTATTCCGGGGAACCCCGGGGGAAGCTCAGGGCGTGGTACACCGGATAAAAACTCCTCCGGGCCAGGTGATACGTGAGAGTTGGAGACGGATTCCCCAGTGGCTCCAGGGCCAGATAAAAGCCGAACTGGCAATGATGCTGGAGCAAGGTATAATATGCGAATCCCACAGTGACTGGCGAAGCCCCATCGTAGTGGTACCTAAGCCCGATGGAAAGATCCGCCTCTGCATCGATTGTTGGAAGGTAAACGCAGTGGCCAAGTTCAATTCTTATCCGATTCCCCGAGTGGACAAGCTGGTAGAAAACATTGGGCAGGCACGTTACATTTCCACTTTAGACCTGACAAAGGGTTACTGGCAGATCCCAGTGGCACCCAAGGATCAAGAAAAAACAGCGTTCGCCACCCCGTGGGGGCTCTTCCAGTTCTGACGCATGCCGTTTGGGCTGCATGGAGCTGCGGCTATGTTCCAGCGGCTAATGGACAGGGTGTTGTCTCCCCATGGGGGTTACGCTGCAGCATATATCGACGATATTATTATATATACTGAGAGCTGGGATGAACATCTCGCCGCGCTGAGAGCAGTAGTGCAAGACCTAAGGAGAGCGGGGCTGACAGCCAATCCCAGGAAGTGTATGATAGGAAAGGAGGAAACGCAGTACCTGGGGTTCCTAGTGGGGAGCGGGAAGGTGAGACCATTGCTGAGCAAAGTGGAGGCTTTGCAGAGGTATCAGGCCCCCCGTACCAAAAGATAGAAATGCTGACTTTCTCTCAAGACAGTACAAGGAAGAAGAGGGACCAGGAGGAACAGAGAGACCCCTGCCGAGAGAAAGAAGGGGGCGTATATTTCGAGGCCCTAACCTTGCTGCTAGGAGGCCGAGTGACCCCTCCAATCCTGGGACGTGCCGGGGGGGCCTGTTAGGCGAGCAGCTGGAGGAAGAAAGCTAAACTCTGGAAAAGGGCAACTGGAGCGAGGCAGGGGAGCAGCAGGGAGACGGGCTCCCTATGATGATGATAATGTGTCAGCCGCCATCATCAGCAGGATGTCCTACCCAGGGCTACCCGCATGAACGTCTGAAACAGGGAGGTAAAGACCGGCCTAAGTGGCACCCTTCCAAGGATGGCTAGTGTGGGGGGACTACCTGTGGTGGGTTACTCCCAACAAATCCCACACAGTGCACCTTGGGTAAAAGGCAAGTAGGAGGCGCCTAAAAACCTCCACCTCCTATACCTAAATGGCTGGGTGCCGGAGGAAATGGCCGAGAGGAGAACCCCAAAGCGGATGGGACACCTAGCGAAAGAAGTACTCGGCTTGGTGAGTCTGGAGTAAAAGCGGGGCGGAGGTGTGTCAGAGAGCACTTAGGTGCCCTGCGTCTGAGGACAGGGATGGCTCCAGAGAGCCCCTAGCGGTGAGAAGGGGGAGGCGCAGCTGCCAGTCACCAGGGCAGCACAGGTGCTGGTTGCTGGGGCAACCGGCGAAACCCCCTGACAGGAAGGGGCAGGGCTCAGCCCTCCTTAAAACCCAGGCAGGAGGCTAGGGTGGCAGTTTCCCCTCTGACAGCCAAGGAGTGAGGAGCTCAGCCAGTACAGAGAGAAGGCCAAGGTTTGGCTGCACAAGTGTCAGCAGGTTGCTGCTGGAGTATTTTTGCCTGGTAGGGATTAACTGTTGTACTGGATGGTTTAGTTTTATGTTATAGCCTGGGGGCTTTGTGTTTTGTGTTCACTGTTTAACCGGAGGATCAGGTGAGGCTATAAGGGATAGAGGAGGCCTCATAGGGACTCCCCAGTAGCGTGGGGGTTCCTGGCGCTGAAGAAGGCGCAGTATGTTGTGGGGTGCATTGGCCTAGCCCCAAGAGTGGCGAGGAGCCCCGAGAGTGACAGAGGGGCGGCGAGGAGCCCCGAGGGCAAAAAGAGGGCTGAGACATAACAGGGCCAGTCAGATCACACCAGCACCATCTGCGTGTAGAAATGGGCAGCCTCCTGCTAATTACAACAATCTATTAATTAAATAAGATCAAGGTGTGGCAGGAGATTAAGCAGGCGGTTAGCCCATTAGAGGAGGGTGGAGCCATACTCAGAGAGGCTCCAACAGTGGCACCCCTGTCACAAGGGGGAATGGGACTTCCTTCTCCAGGTACATGGAACACACATGTTTATTTTTAGATATGAATACATGGAGGCCCTGATAGTATCTTTCAGCAACTGGGAGAAAATATTCTGGGGATAAATGCTTAAATGGGGGTGGCTAAGATTTCCCACAGCAAAGTGCTAGCCATACCTACTTCTTGTGGCCATATTTGTCATTAAAGGTGCCCAGACTTAGTAGCTCACAATCTAAGCATCAAGAAGATTTTCCATGTGAGAAGGTGGACAAGATTTCTTACAGATCAGCCCTTGAAGAAAAGAGGGCTGGTATTTTTATTCCTGCTTCTTTCTCCCTTTCTTCTCTGTTCTGATGGCTTTTATTTTCCTTCTCGGTCTCCTCTAATATTCATATAGCATTATTATCCACAAGAAGCTACAGGAGTAGTCAGTTCAACGTGCTGTAGCCCATTTGGAAAGTGAGTATGATTTTCTGGCAAATAAATTGTGGGTAGATAGATGCCAGTCATGAGTTAACAATACGTATCATGAAGATTTGAACCTTTGGTTGGATCCTTACACTGACAGAGACCATTTAACCTCATTGAGCTCTTGGTAATGTCAACTCTAAAGACCAAACTGAGGAGGACTAAACAACTGATTTAAGGGGCTGACAGTTGCCTTACTATTCTATAGCCCCATACTCTGTTATTTCTCCTTGCCTTATGTATGAATACCATGTGTGTCTTTCAAAACAGACATATGGTTCTGAGTTCCTACTGTGCATGTTTTGCATTTTTTGCAGGTGAAAATTAACAGCACAGAAATGTTCGAGTTTGTGCCTATTTCAGAGGAAAGCAATTGTCAAAATTCAGAAAATGTTTTTGCATTTGCCAAGTGTGTTGTTCAGAGCTTCTGGCAATCAGAGACATTTAAAGAAACCAACATAAACATAATTCAGTATGGAGAAAAAATGTGTTTCAGAATTCAGCCTCTCAAGAACACATCCTATGCTGTGAGTGTAGAACGAAATAGTAAGTAGAGTGATACTCTTCATTTATCCTATGAGTGGACCAGATCATAATGGCAGTGCCATCTGAATCCTACCTTCTGAGTAGCATGTTATTCAAAGAGAACAGACTTTTCTGGTAATATTTACACAATTAAAACTCCTTGGATAAATTAGCCTAAATATATAACTTTTGTTTTTCAGTGGTGGATAAGAAGCTTTTCCTGTTGTTTGTAGCTGGTGTTTTTCTGTTCTATTTTGCAAACACCTTGAGTAGGTGAGTATTAGTTTCCTTATCTTGGTATTATTAGGGTAACTGCATCCTGGGTTAGTTGCTATCCATCAGCAGACAAAGATCATAAACATTTTTTTAATTAAATAAGAAAATTGTCAGTTTCCAATCTGTAATAGTAGTGGGTCTTTGTGGCCCTATTATACCTATCTACAGCAGGGCCATTGCAAGGAAATGCTGTGGCATAAGGATTTGTCACCTACATGGTTATTTCTGGACATGGCTTCTAGCACATGGGGGAAGACACAGGACTGTACCTCAGATACTCCCTACAAAGATGTCAGCAGAAACATCATCCTCCCCTGCTGTAGACCAGAAAAGTTGACTGAATGCCTGGGTTTGTTGCATTAAGGAAGATTACAAAAGTCTCATTCCATGGTGCAGAACGAGGAACTGTTTGTGAGGTTGTTGAGGGCTCTGCTCTCTGCTGTCACCTTTTATGCTACCCTATGCACATGGGTGCACCTCAGAGACAGTCTAGTGCATGGGCTTTGTACAACATGTAAGGGAAGATGTCTGAAGTTTTTTTGTCTCCTGGCACAGTGCTTGTCATCATAGAATCAGTTAATTTTTTATTCATCTTACTTTGATGCACTGTGCCACTTCTACAATTTTAACATTTATTGATGATCTTCCAGTCACTGTTGGGTTAAATTTTGCCTAGACTTCAGATTTTGTAATAAGCCTATACAATCTAAAAGCATTAGGTGCTTTTTCTAAGGTTGATGCAATTAGATCAAAATTGTTTCGCACTCCAAAAATTACAACAGAGTGGACAAGGAAATTAAGTGAATAGAAGCACAATAAACAAGAATAAAGCTGGGGGAGGTGTCTTTTGGGCTCAAGACTGTGAGAAATGCAGTAAGTAAATATTGGGAGTAATAAAATGTCAAGTTATTTCTGATTCTCACGGCTGATGGGCTTTTTTGTTTAACTGGGGCTAAAATCTTAGCTGCATTTGTTCATTCTCAGCAGGGGGAAGGCTGGGTTCTATACAACCGTCTCGATTCTCCAAATTTGAACTGTCTGGGACCTCAAATGGCCCTTAGAGCAATACTAATTAATCCATCTATCCCAATCCAAGCTGTACCCTTTCCCATCTCCATTCTATTCTAAGATGATGACAGGGAGCTGCCTGTGCCACCCAGAAAGTTTCCTTGCTGTGGGAATCACTCCACAAGAGCTATTCCCAGTAGAATCATCACCTCTAGTCTAGGATTCTGATTAATCTCTGAAATAAAATTAGTATTGCATTTACAAATCAAGATGCTTCCCCTAACAGAAGCGCTGTGTTTTATTACTCGGCTGGACTGGTACTGGGTATCCTTGCTACGCTAGTCTTTCTCCTGTTAACATTGAAAAGATTTATTCCAAAGGTAAGTGTGTCGTTTGAAGAACAATAAAGCATCTGAAAAATCTAGGGCCAGATTCTGCTCCTGTACTAGTTTTATAATAGAGGAACTCTACTTATTGGGGAGGGAGGGAGGGAATGTTGCATCTATGTAAAACCAAGATAAATGAGAGCCGAATCGCACACAATTGACCCCAAAGGCCAAAGCCAACAGATAAATAGTGAATGTTTATTCTGAAACCTGAGTATTTTTAGCATATAATAGCTAAACTTATTTATGAGACTACTTATCAGTCAATATGAAAGTATAGCTTTTCCTCTGTAGAAGTAAATTTACCTCACCACTGCACTTATGCATTCCAGATGCTCTGGCTTCCACATATGTCTCTCGTATGATAAGGCTATTACTTACTAACATACTGAGTTGGGATGCAACATGACAGCACCGCCAAATGGTGATCTATTTCAGGAAGTTGACGAAAACAATTTAACCTGTCTTGGCTGGAGACTTCAGAGTGCCATGCAGTGGGTAGGAGGAAAGATTGAATGTGTGAGTCAGATAGTGATCCTTTTGGGGAGGAGAACTGTGTCTTGTATGTTTTCAAAGTCTAAAGCTCATTTTGACTCCTGTACTGATTGAGATAGTTACTACTTATATGATCACAGCAATCAAATAACTGGCTAATTTGTGTACCACATTCTTTCACACTTAGCACAGCACCTTTTGGATTTTAATGAGTGGATGCTGGATGTCCTCTCTCTATTTTATTCACTATTTGCAAGAGGGAATGAAGTGGCTGTGGTCTGAATATAGAATCTACCTACTAGGTAAGAGAACTGCATAGCAGACAGATTAATAGTTATAAGAAACACTCAAAACAATTGATATTTTCAGCTCCCTGTCATCAATTTTGTTTTTTTATCATGAATGTGTGTAGGTGGATGCTGCAAGCTCCTAATCCATTCAAATAAGCTTTTATTCATATTAGATCCTTATATAAAGAATTTGATGTATTAGCATTAGGAAGAGAGCAGATTTTGCCCATATTTTTTCTTCAGTCATTTCCAAGTTCACACCCACTATGAAAGCACAGAGTGGTTATGGTGACAGACAGTAGCTGTAATTTCCCCTCTGGTGGGAGCTCTGGGGTAGGAGGTGTGCAGACTGGAAAGGGAATGTTGTGGCCAAAAGGGCTGGAGAGCTCACTGATTCATCATATCCCCTACCAATGCTCACATGCAGCCTTTTGTAGCAGTTCAAGGCAATACACCAATCACTGCATCCACTTTTTTCCTACAGTTTACATATCAGGCCTATAGAGCAGCTGTTGGCAGCCTTTTAAGGCTGTAGGCCAAACTGACCCAGTTAGGGGCACTAGGACTCAGCCACTGCTGCCACTTTCTCCCCCTGTGGCTGCGCAAGTAGAGCACCTACAGCTAAAGTTTTTTTCCCCACATCAGCATGGGAAAGCAGCTGCTGCTGAAGCCCCCTGCTGGTGAATGTCCCCAAAGCCCTATGCCTGTGGGCCAGATCTGGCCTGCAGACTAGGTTGCTGCCCCTTGTTGCTGAGCATTCCCAAGTATCCAGCAGGTGGCAGGGGGTATCCAGTAGGTACAGCAGGCCAGGCTAGGTAGCAGCCATGATCTTTGTTAACCCACCCTTAAAGTTAACCTTGTGTTGTTAACTTTCTGTCCTCTGACACTTTTTCTGCTTTCACAGGATACTTTTTTACTGTTGGCTTTATCAGCTTTGCTGTTTGCTACAAGCATGGACCACTCACCAATGAGCGAAGCATAACCCTGTTGACATGGACATTACAAATGATAGCCTTCCTCTTGATTTATTTTAGTGTCACTATCCCTGAGGTTGCATATGCAATAATAGCTGTCATCCTCTGCTCCAAAGGCCTGCATTATCCTGTTGGTGTGATCTGTTATGTGGGCAGGTTGGTATGTATTTTATAAACATGCAAGGCATTGTATCACGTTAATATTTAAAAAGATAATGATAAAAAAAAACACATACTGAGGGTTCTTAGTTACTAATCCAAATCATATTCCTTACTTAATGAAAAAAGTGACATCAGAGCAGAGGCTGAAAATCCTCAGGCATAAGAATTAAATAACGATTGAGGCAGGTGTTTCACGCACAGGTCCTTCTATGGAGAACTGTGACTATATCTTTAAGTACAAATGTAATACCTTCTCTGTAGCACATGGTAACCAGTAGCTGTCACGGCTCCTTGACATTGAAAACATCATGGCATTTTGAGGTGTAACAGAACTTGCACTTTTAGCAAGAGTTCCTTGCAGATGCCTATAGGATAGAGCAGTTAGCCTAAGAAACACTGACAGTGTTCTAGGTCAGTTGGTGAACACTGTCAAGAGGAAAGTCCAGGTGTTGAATACCTGGCTCCACTGAAATCAACAGGAGTTTTGATATTGGTTTCAGTTTAGCCAGGGTCTTCAATTCTACTCTTACTGGGCCTCAGAACAAAAATAAGCTCAGTATGGGCAGACTTCCATGTTTATATGGAGCCCCATTTATATACCTGGGCTCTGTGCTGGAGCTGGTATCCACCCTCATGGAGGCCTTAACTGATAATCCGAAGGCCTTCCTGTGTTGCAGAATGTCAGCAAGCTGTGGTTTTCATCCCTAAAAGCAGCCCCAACTTTTTATACTGCCTATTATCTCCAGTAAGAGAGCATTCCAGCTAAGGCAGTATGCAGTACTCTTGGTTCCTTAACTTTGCAATGTACACCTTCTACAAAACATCAGTGAACCAAGGAACCAACAGAAGAGGCAGAGGCTGAAACGGCCATTACACCAAAACAAAGCCACTGTAAAATACAGGTTGCATAGCATCTGTTGCTTACAGGCTTAGTTTTCTCTGAGGTCATTAGGACTTACCCCAATTTAAGCAAAAGCTGTATTTAGCCAAAGATACCCAGCCTGCAGCCAGGGATAGCTTGAGGATTTTTGTAAGGTGACTCCCATATTTAGACTGCAATTTTGGTAACTGACTGCTACTGCCAAGCCAAGAGCATGGAGATCACATTAAAATAACATTAAGGGTCTGTGTATACCAGTGGTTCTCTACCTTGGTAAACACAAGACATTCCTCAGAAAATGCAAGCTCTTCGTTTTCACTTGTTTTTTTACTATAACAGATCAAGTCTTCTTTTGCAAAAAGCTCAGAAAGATCAAAACAGGTCAGAATATATGTAACACTATGGAATCCAGTTTGTTTCAAGGGTGTTGCCATGATTCTTAAGATAAACCCAGGGATTTCAAACTTGAGCACCCCTGTTGAGAATCACTGGTGTACATTGTTGGTACACTACTTGTGCGGCTGCTGGTGAAAAATAAGCCCTGCCTACCCATCCCACTCTGCATGCTCCAAACTCAGAACTCAGGTGGTGAAGCATGCTGGGATCATCTCCAGCAAGTCTCCCACTGCTGGAAACTAAGGGTTCAAGTGGCCTCACTGGGCTATTTCTGGGTGTGGAGAAAGTTGGCAGGAGCGTTTGAGGGTGGCATGGCTGGAGCATCCCAGCTGGTGCATTCTGTCTCCACAGCATAAACATACCTTAAAATCTCATGCAGTTTCTAGTGTATTCTGAAACAACAGCTTCTCATTTTTGGCTGGTTTTAAATTTGCAAAACAACAAACCCAAACGTCTAGACTGAACTGGCAAATGATTGCAGAGCAGGGGTATCAAACTCATCAGGCCCTACAGGCTCAGTGAGTGGTACAAGGCCTGTCTGAAAGGCAGATCTGACCCACAGACCAGCCCTGTGCACCATATGAACTGTACAGCACTAGAGGCAGTCCAGGGGACACCACTTCCATCATATGGGTCTAGTCTGTGACCCACAGACAGTACCATGGGCTGGATGACAGGGCTCTGTAGGCCACATCTTTGACACCACTGTTGTAGAAGCAGCAAAGTGAATAAGTGCTGTTGGTATTGTTAATAATCAAATCTGTTACTAAGATTTAAGAGCTTATTCTACAGATTTACTAGGACCTTTGCCTGTGACCTTAATTGAATCAAGATTTAGTCCTGACAAAACCAAAAAAGAGCTTCAATCCGTTCCCCTTTTCCAGGGAAAAAAGAAGGAATGCAGGTGGCTAGAGCAGATGCTTTTATATAAAGTTCAGTCTTATGGCATCCAGCCCTGGCTTATCTTACCTCCAAAGCCATCACAGCATTAAAAAGTGGAAGGCAGTTGGGAGAAATCAAAAGTGCAGTATATTTTCTAGTAGATTTTTAAATGTATTATATATTGCCATGTAGCATCTAAAATAGCACAGCAGATGATAAACATTCTGGTTTCTGACTACTCAAATATTGTCTCAAAATTGCACAATCAAAATAAGTTATCAAGTAAGCAATGCAGCGATTCCTAGTAGATCTGGAAAGCATTGTTTACCTGGAAGGTTCCCTAAAGTTTAACAACTTCATCAATGATGTGGACATTGGTGTCAGAAGCAGAGTGGGCAAGTTTGCTGATGACACCAAATTCTGGGGTAAAGCATCCACACCTGAGGATAGGAGGGTGATCCAGGGGGATCTGGACAAACTCATGAAATGGGCAGATGAGAACCTGATGGTG